ACAGGAACAGGAGGTACAACAGTGGCTGCTGGAGTTGGACTGAGCTGACAACCAGTTGAGATTGTTGCCATCAAAACCACCTGTGGCCTGAAGGAACCAGTTGTAAGGTATGTGTGGGTAACAGTAGTTTCCCGGGAAATGAGAGTTCCACTATTGTCACCAAAATCCCAGTTGAAGGTGATGTCTGACCCACTGAGATAATGGATAGGGTCATGCAAATTAATGCCAAAGGACACAGCTCTGTTCTGGATAAAGCTTTGGTCACCCTGATTGATGTCACCAACCTGAGATAATGTCACTGTAAAAGGAATCTGGTCTAGAGAAGAAGAGGGTCGTTAGGGTCTTGTGGGAATATGTTCAGTAAATGACAGCATTGGTTTACTCTCCAGTTACATTGATTACTTTCCCGTTCAGTTCAAGGCAGTGGTTTTAATGGCATGAATTCTTACTACAGTGTAAGGTTTTCCTAACGGATAGAGATGATAGAGGATTTCTAGATAAATGTGCAATTATCAAACTACTCACCAGTGATGGAGAACTGGGTAGATGCATAACCAAGGGGAACAAACTTGTCTTTGCCACGGCAGTGATAAATTACTATATCCATTGTGTAAGAACCAAGAGGCATATTGTCTGTTTCAATGGTCAGTAGAGAGGAAGGACCATCAGCCACCTGCCAATATTTTCCTGAAAGAGAGAAACAATCAAAAGAGTAACTAAAAATCAGTCACTAATAGCCCCAACGCTGTCCCTTACACCAAGCTACCTCTAAAATCAGGGAGAAATTATTTAAAAACAAATGGTTCATAAGAATGTTGTACAAGCCTCCACAAGTCTAACCTTAAAGTCTTCATAGGTTGTTGATCCAAGTGTGTGTCCTACTTGCATATGTAAATCCATCTCTCCACTAAATGTGTAGGTTAATATATTTTATTCTAGAATAAAAATACAGGTTTAAACTTGCTCTTACCCCATGTTTTCCATACATAGATGAAGTGGGGCTTTTTGTTAGAGACCTTAGTGAAGGGTGTCCTGTCAGGAAAGACACCTGTCCATTCTTGAGGGATGTTGGACTCAGGGTATACAGTCTGGCCCATAGTATAGGATGTTCCTAAAAGACAAATTGTGTGTGTGTGTGTGTGTGTGTGTGTGTATATATATATATATATATATATATATATATATATGTGCATTATATTTTTATTACAACTTTGTGCTTTGTGTAAAAATAAAATAAAACAAAAATTTAAGTGAAATAAAATAAAATAATGTTTGGTTGTCAGGTTAAATAAAACAGAAGATATTGATATCACTTCCTATTAATTGATCACATTGAAAATGGACATACGTTATTACATGCAGTATAGTATATAAAAATACATATTTTCACAGTGTGTGGTGTGTGGTCCTGTGCACATGAGCATGGTACATACACACACACACACACACACACACACATGTGAGCACATCCATATATAGGGCCATGAAGGCACTCATATTCCGGACATGCAGTTCCCTGCACACTCTTCCCTGTGGGACGTACATCAACCTTCAAGAAACAATTGACCAGAAAACCCTCTGAGACATTATGAGAAATGACATTTATTAATGAAAGAGGTAGAAAGAAAATACTGTAAACAAGGTCATGCACTTACACACACACATTGCAAACCCAACAGGGGAAAGCATCATTCTGTTGGCTTTTTTGTCATGCGATCATCTCATTTTAATTTTGAGCATAAACACACACACACACACACACACACACACACAAGCTACACAAGCGCAATAAGAAGCAAGTGCAAGGCTACAGCATGCCAACTGGGATTAAACCCAGTGTTTCACATAATTACTGATATTCATTAAGCGCCACTGACCGTCAAGGGCATTATTACACAAACACACACTCAGACATACACTCATTATAAACAACACACAGCAGACATCTGTTTAACAGAGCTTGCCATTTTAATCATTTTCCTTGTTTACAGTAAATGATCCATGCACAAGTGCAAAGAGGCCATAGGAAAATATTGATGTCATTGAAAGTAGAGAAAAGAGTGTTAAAATGTCACTATGTCAACACGGCATCACTATGTAAAACACATCCTCTGTTTTCAGTTTGCATTTGTTGAGTGTGTGGAATCCCATTTGTAAGCACATAAAAAATGTTATGGGAATAAAATTGAATAGTAAGGCATTTCATAATTGTTTTAAGTGAAATAAAATAAAATAATGTTTGGTTGTCAGGTTAAATAAAACAGAAGATATTGATATCACTTCCTATTAATTGATCACATTGAAAATGGACATACGTTATTACATGCAGTATAGTATATAAAAATACATATTTATAGTTACACACAGATGTAGTTTAATTCATTTATACGGTATGCACACAGAAAATTAGTTTACTGCACATAGTATACATAATAGAACTGCAGTACGAATAGTATGGTGGTATGTTACTGAACATCTGAACATTGCCACATCTCTCTCTCTCTCTCTCTCTCTCTCTCTCATCCCTTCATCTGTGTGTCAAAGGGCTTCTCTGGCGCAGTCTTACAGACACTAGTCTGCAAAGTTACACTGCAAAGCAACACACTCATATATGCACTTGCATATTAAAATCTAGGCTGTCAGCCAATTAATTATGACTGATGTGTGTACTAAAAGACATAAATTTTTATCTGACAGCAACACTCAATTATATGTACTATACCAAACTCAACAAACCAACTCCTACACGTATGCACACTTCCAGTATATAAATCATGTCCAGTTAGCTAGTGAAGCTGACCTTTCAGCCTGCAACTTGACTAAGCTTTTTTTAACTGTATAGTGTCAGATATCCCAGTATTACGGTGGATGAGAAGTGCAAAACATATGCCAATTCTGAAAACAAATAATTCAGAAAACACTTGCAATTCCGAAAACATTATAACAAGTCAGAAAGCACAACGCCAAATCCGAAAACAAAATAACAAGTCAGAAAACACATTGACAAATCAGACAAAATAGAAGAGGTAGGTAAAGTTTGAGAATGGATTACTTACCGCTGACTGGACGAGACATCTGTCAATCAAGATATACAGGAAATACAGCAGGCTAGTGGTAGAAAGTACGGAGATGCTCTTAAAATAGCTCAATAAAAATATGTATTGCCCTTTCTGTGGAGTAAAATATGACGTGCTTCCAAAGTTCCATGTTTCATTCAGAAAAAAGTTTCGAGGTTTTAAAAGAGACATGACAAAAAACGCCCTTGTCAACAAACATTATAGGTAGACTACATAGCGATAACATAGCTAGAACGTGCCTTGCGCTGTGATCGTTTCAACGATCACCAGCATTGGAAATCCTCCATAGTTTTTCTAGACTTTAATATTTTTAAATGTTTACAACACTATACTTTGTATTATATTATCTTTGAATTAGATTACAAAAAAAAAACTAGTTAACAATAATACGCTAATTTGACACAGTTCTCTCTTCTGACTGCCGTTATCAGCTTATCTACTTTTTTTTATCGTGAAAAAACTGTCGTGGTGTTTTTCTTTTGCTATTTGAGCAAATGGGAATGCAAAGAAATATATTTGTGTTAATCTCCCATTCACTGCTATCCACCTTATTCCTGATGAGCTGACTGCGTTTTGAATTATGGGTGGCACTTCCAGTTCCATTCAAAAAGACTGAAACAAATCATTTCAATTCATAAAGTTGCCCTACAAATGAAGCGTATCCGTCTGTTTGACTGAATGAGCAGTCGATTTCCCTTCATGTTTTATTTTCAGACATCATGAGAATAATGTAACGCTTGGTATTTTAACATGACATGTTATAACAAGAATATGTATGGCAAAAACTCTTTTCAGTCACTGCATTCTTTTCCTCATGATTATTTTCTTTTTTCCCTTTGCATTCTGCTGTAATAGCATGAAACAGGACAACATAATACTGCACATTTGTGGTGTGTTCTCCCAATTTAATTTACCATAGATCCCATTAATAGTTCACTGGAATGCACAAAGAATCTCTCGTTTATCTCCTCAAATCCTCACATCTCTTTCCAGGGTTGTTTGTTTTCACAGGTAAACACAATTTATTATCTGTCAAAATGACGGAAATTACTTTGAAATAGTATCACACAATGCTGAAGTTAATGAACATTTTTGATTAAGACAACGTATGTTACACAATACAGATATATATTACTACAGTGATATTTCAGCTGTCCGTTATTGCTGTGGAAAGAATCACGCTTCTGGGGTTATTCATGGTCTGTTGAAATTAACTTGTTTATGCTTTTACACATTTAAATGTCATTTTAATGTTCGATGGTTGAAGGGTGAGTAGAATAATGTCATCTCATTGTACCCAGTTTAAAAAACAAACAAATACAACAAAAAACTTATAATTGCATTCATAAAGCGAGTCTTTCAATGATTGTTTACAGCTTAACGGAAGTTACATCCATAATTCGCACAAAGTGTCTTGGGGCATAGGAATAAGGAAGTGTACCCAACTATGACGACTTCAGCTGCTGAGAAACTTGGAAATGTGGAAAAAGGTTCATAGAACAAATATCAAGCAGTTAGTGTGTAAACAACATTGACACAGTTGACAAAGTTTCTTTCAAAGGCACAGGCGTGGGCTCAACACCTGCACCCACTTAAAACCAGTTTTTGGAATACCGAAAACACAAATGTAAGGAAAGAATTAACTTTTCCTTGGGCAAGAAAGGAGGAAGCAAACATGAGCAGAAGAAAGTACAGGTGTAGTGTAATATTCAAATAGATTCAGCGATACTTTGTGAATTGCGCTGTCACTAAAGTTATACTTTTTTTACGTTTTAATGTCTCTGCAGAGTCGTTACTTAAAACCAAAATGAGGGCAAACACTCCTCTTATTCACTGACCCACAAATAATGGCAAAAGATCTCCTTGTGATGGCTGCAAAAAAAAGAAAGACTTTAACAACGACATGGAGGAAGGACCCTATACTTCTCTACCCAGATGACTCCGAAGTCCTTAATGTTCCAGGGACACAGAGGCCCTTTACACTGAAAGACTACAAATCAGAAATTGGAAAAGAGTATGCAAGGATAAATTTGTTCATTTGCAGAAACTTTGAAAGTTAGTTAGCTAAAATTCATGTATCGTTTATTTGTTAAAGCATAGCATAAAATCAGTAATGAGCCATCGTTTTTTAGAGTGTAGTCTCTGTTAGGGTTTTACATTAAAAGAGCAACAACAACAGCAGCAACAGCATGTTGTGTGAATTAGGTACTTTTTTATTGACGTGAAATTGTAGCAAAAATGTCAGTGCTCTTAACAACAGTTATTAGCTGAACACATTAATAAATGACAACTGACACTGAACATGAATAAATACATGAAGTAAAATACAAAATAAAAAAATAGATGTAATGAAGACCAAGTTCCAGTGAAATATCTTCACAATACTCTATGATGCCTTTAAGTCCATCATTTTGGTGTTATTGAGTGGCAGTTTCTCTCTGCAGATGATGAGGTTGTGGGATGTGATGCATCTGAAATACACAGTTGAGTTTAGAGTTACAGTTTGTCTCTTCCATTTGTTTATGCAAAAACAAGTATGTTGACAAAGGCCAAAAGAAGAACAAATGGACATTATGTGAGCCCTTAACAATCCTAAAAGAAAAAAAGAGATATAAAGTCATGGCATAGCTTTAATATTTTTTTTGTGACTGGGTATGTTTATGCATAAACCCAAGTAATAATTACAAAAAATCGAACAATATGGATTATAAATGCAACGTCTCTGTTACTTACTTAATGGAGAAGAGGAGAAAAGTATCGTCAGCTCACCAGAGCTGCTCACACTTACATGTGACAGAAACACTAAGAAGAGAAAAGAACATGTTTGTTTGGAAACCAGTTACAATTTTAAAGTTACATTACATTTACATTTAGTCATTTAGCAGACGCTTTTATCCAAAGCGACTTACAAATGAGGACAATAAAATCAGTCAAAACTAACGAAAGAGCAACAATATATAAGTGCAAATGACAAGTCTCGGTTAGCCTAAAAATTTAAGTTAAAATTAAATTTTACAAAAAAAAAATTATTTTAACTAAAGTTAAATTTGATTAAAGAATCGAATCATTTACCTGTTGAGAGTGTGTTGACAGTCAGTGTAGTTGGATCACTGAGCCCCAGAAAATCAATAACGAGGTGCTTTGACAGTTACAGATTTGAAAAACAAAAAGGCGAGAATAAAGAGCCCTAAACTCTAACACAAAGAACCATTTTCAGCATAAAGGGATTCTTCAGGATGCTATGGTTCTAAATAGAAGCATTATTACATGTAAATAACCTTTAAAGAACCATCTTTTTTTAGGGTGTATTTCTGAACATGTTGCGTAACAGAACCGGTGTTACAGGTTTGTTTGATTTGTTAAATATTTTCTGTATGTACTAATATCATGAAATTTGCACATTGTCACATTTGTGCTGATGATGATGATCTCTTCTTATTTGCAGAGAACACATGGAAGTGTATGTGCCTGTGATTGCTGAAGAGGATGATGATCTGATGATGACGACAGCACACTGCCTTGACCTCCCACAACCGATAGAATAAGCTACAAAAGTATGTTGATTGGAGAATATAATTATACAAATAATGATTACATTGATTAAAATGTACTTTATACAATCTTTAGGGGACAGAGCCATTTAAAAGCTCCTGGCATTATTTCAAATATGTCCCTTGCCAGTGATAGAAAACGTGTCAGCAGATTCAACATAACGAGATCCAGTGTGGGGGATAGGGCAGTCAGAGGATTTAAACGCGTCTCAAAATTCAGTGTATCAGAAATCCATGTTTGTAAAGTTCTCTGATGATGCTGGCACATTGGAAGAGGGTCTTGATACAGGTGGACCAAGAAGGGAACTTCTCACTTTACTGATGAGCTGCCTGCGGAATCGTCCCATTTTTAATGGACCACCCAATAGCAGCTTCCTGGTGTACAATTCAGTTGGTATGTTTTTAATTTGAATAGTTGTTTATGTTTTGTAAAGGAGTACCTGTTAAGTAAGGTATAATGTACATCCAGCCGGGTGTTATTGCAGAATAAGGCCCGACAGGCTTCTCAGGACTCTGACGCCAAGCATAGGGCTTTTGTATCAGCCTGAGGGGCTTTATTTTGTGATGATAACCGACTGGATGTACATTATCCCGCTTATTGCATGGTTACTTCCCACATAAGTAAATAACTGGATGCAAAATATTGATTTGTCAAAATATTTTCTTAGCTGATCACAAAGCTTCCATTAAGAAGTTCAAACTAAACAGACATTTAAGGGATACATTACAGTCATACCTCTTATTAGATGGCTTTTTACCACAAAAGGCAGAAGAGATATTGATTTGAGATTAAATTGTTTTAAAATATTGCATTTTTATTAGCTTATCCATTACAGTGTACAAAACAAAAAATTATTCTTGCAAGGAGATGAACACACCAACAAAATTACATTACAGTTAATACTGAAGTCCAATTAAATGTTCAATATAATCAATAACTATAACAGAGAAACTAGATATTTTAATATTTTATTAGCTCACCAAATGCAATTCTAAGCTACATATACATATATGTACATATAGCACAGTTACCCGGATGAGCCTGTGTTAACAGTTTCTACCGGTTGTTATCGGGGAATAACAAACAACTAGGTGTTGTGATTGACCAATCAGAATCAAGTATTCCACAGAGCCGTGTAATAATGAAAAGTTCCATCTGTGTAACAAACACAGTTACTATGACTGTCATGTGTGATTTCACTTTACTTTCTGTGGCAGCTGTTAGGGAGGATGAGTATTTATTGGCAGGGAAAATAATTGCAGTATCAATAGTGCATGGAGGACCAGGGCCCCATTTTCTTTCAAAAGATGTGGTAAACCCACTGATCTATAATAGAGAACTGGATTGCTCAAGACGTCATGAAAGTGAAGCCGCCGTGCCGCCATATTGGTAATCCCCACTATTCCCATACATGCCATTGAATTAATAGGAAATCGTACAAATTTA